TGATTTTCTGATGTTGAACCATCCTTGTGCTCCTGGGATAAAGGGAGCCATCATTTTGCCAAGAGAAATGGTATCATTTTTGTGGGAATTTATAAAGTCCATCTTCTGAGGGCCAGGTGTCCTCACTGCTGCTGGAGTGTCACTGCCTCTAGGACCTTTCAGTGGACAGAACTGGCCAAGTAGCCAATTGCAGTAATTACATATGTATATGTATGCATGTGTATGGATACAGATGTGTGCAAATGTCTACAAAATGTACTCGTGTGTTTATTTGATGTATATCGTGTGTGTATAAGTCCATGCATATTTGCAAACACACGCAACATGTGCATAAACACGCAGATATGCGCATGAGTATCTGCACGCACTACCTGTGTGCGTCTGTGCTGAGCTCACGTGGATGCCACTGACTCACTCACCACAGCACTTCTGGCTTACTCATTTCTTCATCCTGTAGCACACCGAGCAGCGCTGCAATTCCTGCATGAGCACATGGCCACAAGCACACCAGCTGAAGCCGAGCTCTGCAGTTGGTTGTCGCTGCTGGTTGCCTGTTTTAGGATGAAGGCTGCATGCCCTTTCTTTGGTCTAAGCGTTAGACTGCATCGGGGCAGTAGTGGAGGATGAGAAGGTCAGAGGCAGAGGAGTTGCGGTTGTGAGGAGGGAGGGGAAGGCCGTGGCAAATGAGGGGCTCTGGCGTGTGAGTAAGTTGTGGGGGTAGGGAGATGGGGAGAATGCAGACTGACGTTTAGGTTCCTGGTTTGAATGCCTGGGCAGTCCTATTTTCCAAAATAGGAAACACTGAAGGAGAAAGGTAGTTTTGTTTTATTTTGTTGGTTTTGGATTTTTGGTTTCTTTTGGAGCTGTCGTTTGAGGTAGGGGAAGGAGGTGGAAATTAGCTTAGCGGTAAACATGTAGAGTTCGTGTGTTCTGGAAAAATAGGAGTGGAGCCTCTTCTGACTAACTTGGAGTAGCAGGGGCCAGGCTTACCTGCTTCTTAAACAAGAAGCTAAGAAATAGGCAGGTAGAAATGGTGCTCAGAAAGTGAGCAAAGGTAACACATGGCAGTGACCCTTCAAGGGAGGGAAACAAACATAGCGGCCCGTGACTCAGGAGCTTACTGGCTAGGAGTGTTTCCGGCCGTAGTGCAGAGGAGAAGCCCAGCCGTCCTGCAGACTCTCTCAGTGATGAGGCAGATTTCTGAACGTTTGAAGGCCGTGATGGCTAAATTTGTAGGGCAGAGAAGAAGCAGGAGAGGGAGGCATTGTTGCCACTGTGAAGCTAAATTCCTTCTCTCCATATCCCATAGTTCTGTTGCACTGAGACTTCTTTTGGGGTTTTCTTTGACTTTTAAATTTTTTTCCTGGCTCCGGAATTTGTGACGTGTTCTTCTGTCTCTTCAGGCTTAGGTTTCGCTGGGATAAACTTCCGGGTTGCTGTCTTTGTCCCTGCTGAGGCACTCAGAGTCCTGGTATGGACCTGGGTGATGGGCACAGAGGACGTGTGGCAGCGAGGGGCAGGAGGGTGACCCGTGCTGTCGGGGCTTCAGCATCCCACGGGGCTGTAGGTGCTGGAAGCTTTATAGATCATCAATAAAGATGAGCTATTTTTTTATATGAGGGTTAATAAAATCAAACTTCTAGCTAGAATTATCAGGCTGAAGAGAGAAGATGGGAATTATCGACACATGGAATGAGAGTGAGCATATCCATGTGGATCATGCAGCGTCCAGCAGTGAGGAGGTGCTGTCAGACCTGCACTGGCTAAGGCGATAGACACCGCCCTTGAAAGACCCAGCCCACCAAATGTCACTGAGGAACAACTAGCGGTGGGCCTCCCAGCTACTAAAGTGGCATTTTTCATGGAAAATTTTGCTATTTAAAAAGTTCTTGGGTCCACATTTCTTTGTTGGCGAACCCTGAAGAAATGATAGAAATTCTAGCAAAAAAAAAAAAAAAAAAAAACTGTATTGCCAATAATTGCTGAGAAGACCGTACTGGCACATTTTTATTAATCCCAAAGTACCTGACACAAGCAGATACAGACGTGACCTGCAAAGGAGACAAGCCATTTTCCCTTCCGGACACAAGGTTTTCTTAACAAAATTTTAGAAAATTGAATTTATGATTGCTCATCATAACTAAGTGGTGAGGTGAATTCTCTGGGGGCCTTCAATTAGGGCCTCGCTCCTTGGACAAGCGGGTCTCTGAGCATGCGTAAACCTCAGAATCTGCTTCTCACATTGCTACGGCCCCATCAAAAGTGTAATGGGGACCCTGTGGATCTGTCATTTGCTGTTTAGCAGCTGGCCTCGTGCGCAGGGTCCCAGAGCGGCCCGACCAGCAGACCTTCAGCAGCTCTGGGGCTCCCCACGGGGCGGGGTGGGGCGGGGCTCCCTGGAATCCAAGCTCCTGTCCCAGGTTGAGGAAGGTCTTTTCTCCTGGTTGGTGCTCCAGTCAGTCCTTGCTTTCTGCCTTCATGGCTGTTCCTTTTATTCCACTCTGGTGCTTCTGATTGACTCTGGGCCTAGAAACCGGGAGACCAGGGAGTCATGCAGTATTTCTCTGAAATAGACAACCCTTCACGTTAAGAAAACAGAGGCCTGGGGAGCTAAGTGTCTCATTCAGGATCACAGAGCTTGTAAGTGCCCACGTTTGTGCCAAATCCTTCTGAGATCTGCTTCGACGCTTTCTGTGCCGTGTCCAGGGAAGTACTGGGTTAGGGACAGGTGTCGGGAGAGGCCCTGCAAATGGAGGCTGCGGCAGCAATGAGTGAAAGGGAAATGACAGCATTTGCACTGACACAGACTATGTGCTGATTCTTTACAACTTATGTATCCAACGCCTGATGGAGGAAACAGGGAGGGAGACGAAACACCAAGGGTGGTGGAACGGACATGGGCATTTGTGGGAGCAGTGAGCGGGTGGGCTGGCCTGCAGTGGCTTCTGCCCATCACCTCGCTTTGGCTTGAGGCTGAAAGGTGCACTTTGGAGCCTGAGGTTTTTGAGAATTTTGGGAAAGTGAGAAGTGTGTTCCATAGGACCGGCGTGCAGGCCAGGCTAGCAGTGGTAGAGCTAGTGGGGTCACAGGGAACACAGCTTGGGCAGGCTGCCACGCGGGTGGCGCTTTAAACCTTGTGTTTCTTGCTAGTGTTGTGAGGGAAACAGGCCATTCCAGGCAGCAGACGCTAGGTGGAGTAGCATAAACAGCGTGCTGCGACTGCCTGAGGGTGTCGGTGCTGGGCCTGGCCCGCCTGAGGAAGGGGGTGAGCAGAAGGCCCGGCTCGGATGAGTTCGGGCCCTCTGACTCAGATGCCTGTAACTCCTGCTTCCCTGAGCAACCTGTTCGTAATTTCCTCTGCGATTAATGCTGTCGGGGTGCGGGGTCAGTGGGGACTGGCAGTAGCTCCGTCTCCGAGGGCTGTCACAGGCAGACGGAAAGGCCATTGACATTAGAACAGAACAGTCTAGTTCTCAGATTTGCCAGCGCCGGCCCTCATCGCTGGAGCCGAGTCCCCGAGCCCTAGCAGACCCCGACAGTCACCCCACAGCTCGCATCCAGCAGCCCAGTCTCTGCAAAATGAACAGTGTCTGTGGCAATAAGCACTTCACACCAGAATTCCCAGGGATCTGGACATATCAAAACAGAAAAGCCAAGGCTTTGTTGTCTTTCTGAAGCCTCAGAGCTCGCAGCCCCACCATGCCCGGGAGGACTGCGCGGGGGCGCAGCCCAGCGGCTCATGCTCGCGGGGGTCTGTGACGCTGGTGTCCATGCTACCGCACCGGCATGTCGGCTTCCCAGCACTCCATGAGCGAGCTCTCATCTTTTCCGACTGATCTTCACATGTGCATCACAGCGACATGTTCTCTCTCTTTGTGGTCTCACTGTATAAATCTCGTTATATAAGCTTAGTCGTGTATCAGCATTCCCACATGTTGCCGGCTCGGGCCGGGCCAGCGTGGTCAAGCAGGGGTCTGCTGTACACAGAGTGGTGGCTGTACACATCCCAAGGGAAGTTGGCAAAGCGGAGTCCATCCTATTCGCTTCTGGCCTTAGGGGGTAACACTGGGGGGAAATGGCATCCCCCACGCAAACAGAGAGCCGGGGGCTTCTGAAAACAGTTGTTTGAAAACTGAGGGGAGCCTTTCTCTCACATTCATCCATGTTCACGCGTCCCTCTCAAGAGGGGGTGAGCGCGGCCGAGACTGAATTGTCGCCCTGCCCAGGTTCCATCTTTTCATTTAACAGTGCTGTTTGTTCACCCAGACAGCTGGAGTGCTGGGGTGCTCCGGTGCCTGGGGCCGGGCGTGTGGCCCCTGGGCCGCACACCCACTGCCAGGCAGCCAGGCGTCCTGTGCAGAAGTGGGCTGGCCCTCGGGGCCTGGCAGTCCTGCGCCAGATGCCCCTGCTCGCCTGGCCAGAGAGCACAGAGCCAGAGTGCGCAGGCCAGGGACGTGAGCTCGGCCGCTCCTCTCGCTCTCGCTCTCGCACCGTGCGAGGCCTCTCGGGGGTCGGGTGAAAGGGCCTTGCCTGGCAGCGCCTCTCGGCGTCACCGCTCTCTTGCGCTGAGCACCTGGGGCTCTTGCTCTCTCTTGACAGGCCCCTCCTCCTCCATTGTCATGATCACCCCCAGTCTCGTTGAGCCTCACCCCGGTTGCCGCTCCTTCCGCTTCTAGTTACCTCTCTACTTGGCCTCACCTGGCACTCAGCTCGACCCCTAGTTTTCAGTAGCGCCCATCTCAGGAAGCCCAGTTCGCGGAACACCGAGGCTTGTGACCTGAGTGGCTGCATGTGAGGGGGGGGCGGGCATCTGTGACGCAATACCCCACCTGGGGCAGCGAATCCGAGTGGGTGCTCTTGCCCGTTCACTACTGGCGTGGCTGGTGTTTTCTGTACCCCGGGGCAGGCTTCTCCGACCAGGGTGCCCAACGGGGGCACGCTGTGGGTTCTGAAGTCTTCCTTCTTCTTTCTCAAGCACAGAAATGACTCGAGAACCTGTGCTCTAGATGACAGCCTGAGTCTGTAAAACACAGCCCTGGCTTCAGAGACATGTTATTTGCTGATTAAGCTTGGGAGTAAATTATGTGTTTGGTAGCAGACTGGTGTTGATTATTATTCGATGATCCTCACACTCTTTCTGGAAACGGCGTGTCTGTGAGCCCATGTGGCTCCCTGAGGCACGCTCGGGGCTGGAGCAGGGGTGCAGGTATTCACCGTAGGGGCAGCTCTGCAGAGTGTTCAGGGAGTAGACTCTAAAGGCTCTCTCAGCCGGACGTGTGCCTATGTAGAGTGTGCCCCCACATGGCCAGCGCCAGCACGCATGTGCCAGGGTTGTGCCCAGGGCTCGTGGGCGCTTGCCGTGTGCTGCTGGGTCAGGGGAGTGGGGCGCTGGTTGGCATTTATTGTAATATGAAGTGCTTCCACACTGAAGCGGGCTTCGCTAGCCTAGAGGAGGCTGCCTGGCTCTGTCTGTGGTGTGGCGGGGTGGGTGGGCAGTCTGGGCTGCAACGGGCCGGTGAAGGGTGACCAGAGCAGGTGGAGGGAGACCTAGCCGTGGAATACTTGCGTTTCTTGGGGCCATTTTCCCACTCGGCAAAGATGTGGCGTGACCCTTCCATGTGTGCCCAACTGCTCAGCGAGCCCCACTTGAGTACCCGTCCGCCTTCCGTGTACTGCAGATACAGGCGTTACCGGGCAGCGACGCCGCTGGGCACCCCGTCTCCTGGCAGCTGAGATTGGCACCTTTCCATGGAGACGCGTTGCTCTGGCCAGGAGGGGGTTCCGTCCTCTGCGCACATCGGCCCATGGCCCTGCAGGCAGGAGTGTCGGGACCGCCTGTTTGCCCCAGCCATAGAGTTGGACACTTGTCATCCGCCACTGTCAAGGGGAGCTGTGGGCCGTGGCCTGGCGTGTGAATGTGAGGTTGCCGAGGGGCTTCCAGGGTCTGGCGTTCGCAGAGTCGACTGCCCTTAGTGGTGATACCTGCAGGGGTGAGGTAGCGCAGGCGAGAATTTGTTCCAGGGGTTCCTGTGACTGTAGCAGGCTGTCTTGGGCGCGCGGTGGGAAAGCAGCTGGCTGGCGTGACACTCTGCTTGTCTGCTTTCTTTGACGCAGATGCGGTGACCGAAGTGAAGACTGACATCTATGTGACCAGTTTCGGCCCCGTGTCAGACACTGACATGGTAAGTGTCGCTCCTGCAAAGGAACTTGTGACATGATGCGACAGATCAAAGCAAGCGAGGTTCTGCGCTGGGGCCCACTAGCCTTGTGGCAAAGAGGGTCTCGTGTGGCTTCTCTGCCCCTAGCAAGCCACTGTTAGCCGTGTCCACCTCCTCCCTGCCCAGTCCGGCCACGCCCACAGCCAGCATCGACCCTCAGCACGAGAACCGCTCCTCTGTCCAGGCTTCCCACACTCAGCTCAGCTCCTTATCCTTGCTTAACTCCGCCTGCTCTGCCCTGCACGTCTGGCTGTCGCCACACGCATTAGCACAGCCGCTTCCCGAGAGGAGCGCCTCCTGCAGCGCCTTCCCAGAACTCTGCTTATTGCACACAGGCCTTAGCCGCTGGGGCTGTGGACCGAGGGTGATGCAAAGTGTTTAGAGCAAGGGTCAAAAGCACTTCTGAAAACTGGCCCTTGTACAGATGTGAGCAGGGTGCGCAGGGGTTGGGGGCTTCAAAATGGGTTTAAGGAATGGGCAGGGCCGGCAGAGCCTGCAAGGGTGTGACGCACAGGGACCCTTCCTTCTCCAGCACACTCTCCTGCTGCCAGAGCAAAGAATGAAGTGGGGAGTTGAGGCACAAGACACCCCCACCCTAATGGACCACCTGATCCAGACCTGTGGCATGCCAGATATTTGATTGAACAGTTTTCATATAGGGAGGCCAGGAAGGTATCTGCTCGGGTTGCCTGGCGTTTATTAGAGGCTCAGCAAACTGTTACTGAATGTGTAGCTCTGTTGGAAATAAGAGTCCAAGTCTTTCTGGCTTCCCAGGCACTCGAGGGGTGCTTGGCACATGGGAGAGTTCAGTGAGGGGCATGCGGTGTGGTGAGGGCTGGCGGGCGGGCCTCTCTTAAGGTCAGAGACCCTTCCGTCTCCCCTCACCTGCTGTCGCTAGGTGCCCAGTGAGCAAGAAAGGTTCTAGAGACACCCCCTTTCCATCCAGAGAGCTCACCGGAGATAACCAGATTTACCAGGGATTTGCTTGTAGTGCCGGGTGTCAGTGACGGGCTTGGATTTTTAGAAAAAAGTACCGGAGTGACTCTGTGAGCACCCGCAGCCATCCACTCACTCGTGAATGTGCCAACGTCCGCAAACACTGCGAGAACAGAGTGCAGGCAGCCAGGCAAGTGCCCACATACTGCCCTGGCACACACATGCACAGGCCTGGGTGTCTGGGACACATGGATGTGCGAGACTCCGCGGGCCTGTCAGAGCCCAGACTTCTAGTCTCGTTGGAAATTCATGTTGTAGTCACTGTTTTGCTTTTCTCCCTCACGCCTAAGCAGAAGCAGCAGAATGCCTGTCCTGATAAGGGAGGGCCGAATTCGGTCAAAGAATGAGCTATTTTTAGCTGCACTTTTGTCCCGTCTGCGGGCACAGCAGCCAGGATGGCTCTGGATAGGAAGCACATTGGTGAGTTTTTAAAAACTCTTTGGCAACACTGAACAGGCTGTGGCAGTTTTCCCTGGGCCGTGGGTGACCTTAGGTGGAATGTCACAGTTGTCTGACTTAAGCAGCTAGTTGAAGCAAGGACCCAGACTCCCCTGAGACTGCAGCCGGCCAGGCAGAGTAGGTGACGTGGGGGCGGGCAGGCTCCTTGCTCGCTGGCGGTTAAACAGGGAACTTCGGCCCAGTGCGCCTTCCTGGGGACTGGCAGTCTTCTGTCCGCAGAGACCTCTGCGAGTTGATGTATTGCCTAGGTTTTTTTGTTGTTGTTGTTTTTTAATGTCTTGCCTTATGTTTTTTAGAGTTTTAGGTCTTACATCGGGGTTTTAATCCATTTACAATTCATTATTGCATACAGCGTTAAAGATGTGGCTGAACTTGGTTCTAGATTCTGCCTGCAGTCTGTTCCGGTGGTCTTTGCTTGCTTGCTTATTCCAAATCCATACTGCTTTGATTACTGTTCTTTATAGTCAAGGAGCAAAACGCTTCCATTTGTTTTTTTCTCGCAGAATTGCTCTGGGAACTTTGGGCTCTTTGTGAATCCATATAAAGTTTCGAATTGTTTGTTGTCATTCCTTAAAATCTCATTGGAATTTTGATAAGGGTTGTATTGAATCTATCAATGGCTTTGGTAATAGAGCAGTTTTAGCAATGTGTATTCTTACCACCCACGAACATGGGATATCGTGCCATTGCGTGGCTCTTCCTCCAAGGAAGTTGTCTATAGATCAGTACCCAGATGCAGTCGATGGGCTCATGACACTGCCATGAGCACTAGTTGGTTTCTGGTTGTGTGTAAGGGAGAAGTTTAGCAAAACCTCCCCATTCTACCATCCCTAGGCGGAGTCTCCCCTAGCTGTCTAGCTTAGTGAAAAAATAAAATAAAACGCAGGCTTGGGAGATGAGAAACCATGAAGCACATTATAATCACAATTCCTTTTTTTTCTAGAAGACCAAATACACCTTTCTTCTTTTCTATAAACTCTGGTGAAATAGTTTTCCATGTGATACCATCGCAGATAAATGAAATCAGCCTGCCTTCGAGCCAGTCACACTAGAGCGACCCAATCAGCGTGTGTCCACATGCCTAGAGGATTTGCAGATGCTATCGAATAGTGTGTGGCGACTTCCCAGCATAGATCCCAAAGTAAAATAGATGGCTGATGTTGGTGTTCTTGTGGAACAAATGGGTAAAAGCAGCTTTTCTGAGAGATTTGGTCTTGAAATGCTTTTCTTTCAATAATTGGAAATTTAGAAAGGAGATGTAGTTGCAAAAAAAGTTTGTTTTTTTTTTAAAGATTTATTTATTTATTTGTGCATACAGAACTGGGGTACAGGCCAGAGGCTCAGGGGCGGCGAGAGGCTTCACCAGAGACAGAGTGGGGAGCAGAACAGGCAGATCGACGAAGTACACTGCTGAGGGAAGCAGCGGGCGGGCCAGGAGAGGTCTGCCGCGCCATGGGGTCTCCTCCGGGGCAGCAGCAGGCGGGAATCGAACTCATGAGGAAGTGGCTTCAGATTCTCAGTGCTGTGCTTTAACCCGCTGCGCCACCAGGGAGGGCCTTGCAAAAAAAGTTTAAGAATATCGAAGATGACAGTTTTCTTCTAAATTACTTAAGTACCATTAAGTTAAAATATTTACATTCATTATCAAAAAATTGTTAAATCTTATGTAAATGGGTGAACAGCGAGAGCTACAATGTAGATTGCGCTTAAAGGTGTATAGATGGCAGAAAAGGATCTTGTTTGCTACCCTGCTTACAAATTTCAGCTGACTTCACATGAGTTACACAATGGGCTTTGCGAAACGCAGCGGGGTGCTTTCCTGCACACCGGGAGCTATGCCCGCCGGGTGGCCCATGGGCCAGCTCAGCCTCTGGGTGCTGTAGCAGTGGCCTCGATTGGCCTTTTCCACGGACACCTTGTAGAAAAGGTCTGGGAAATTCTGGAAGAACCAAAACTGATCAGAAGCACATGATTTGGGACACAGCAGGTAACATTTTGTGGTTTCCCTTAGCAGGCAGGGCTCAGGTCACAGTTCCCGTTTGGGAAAGTGGCACAGGGGACATTGAGGCGCCTGGTGGCCCGGGGCACAGGCTCACTGGAGGCCCCATCTTCTCTCTCTTCAGAGACAGACTTGGTGGTGAAGCCAATCGGCCTCTTGGGAAATAGATGGTTTACAAATAAAGACACAGAGTCATGTGAGAGAGGTTAGCCTGCTTGACGCTGAATTGGCGGGTGGCCCATGAAGAGGGGCTGGTGAGGGTGGTGACGGTGATGGTCACCAACATCTAGACCAGAGGAATTTTTGGAGGAAATACAAAACCATACCACAGAGGGGCACACAGCTTCCGGGTGCGCACCACCAGGGAGGGCCCTAAGTAGTGATATTTTAGAATATATTAGACTTTCAAGAAGTTTATGATTTTTGAACATTAGTACTGCATTTTTAAAAACTTATTTATGCACAGAAAAAACTGTGGTCCAGGCCAGAGGTGGGGGTGTGAGGGTCTCCCCTGAAAAGTGGGGAGCAGGAAAGGTGGATCCACTGAAAGCCACTGCTGAGGGAGCAGCGGGTGGTCGGGAGAGTTCTGCTGGGCCCTGGGGTCACCCCCTGGCCTGGTATCAAGCTCCTGCTCTAGTGGCTGCCCTAGCTTCACAGTGCTGCGCTTTAACCCTTGCACCACCAGGGAGGCCCTAATACTGCATTTTATGTAAGTACAGCATTGTTAGTACTCTTTAGTGTTTTCTATTTGGCAGTATTTTTTATGCAATCTGCCATACCAAATAAGTCTAATGTTTAATATCTCTCCTTTTATAATAGAAAGAGGAAATCTTATGAGATGCTGTTCCAGGAATTCTCTAGAAAAAAAAAATACTTCATGATAGCTAAGTGAAAAGATTTTATTTAGAATTTGTTTGGAGAAAGTCTCTCAGAAGTATTATTTTTTAAAACACTTAAGTAAGATTACAGGTATATGAAACTAAGCAAAGTAAGAAAGGTGTGTGTTAAGGTATATAAACTATATATAACTGTGTCAAGTGTATATCTGTATATATATAACTATATGCAGATTTATATAAGTATAAATAATAGCTTTATATAGTATATAAATAACTATTATAAAACTATATATAAATACAGACATGTTATATGTAATTTTGCACAGTTCTGACTTAGCTCCTAATATTGACAAGATTAGGTTTACTTAATTAAAGACCTGAGGATAAAGATAATATGGTGTATAAAGTTGTGGTTTGGCAATCATTAAGATAAAGGAAATCCTTTCATAATATCTTATCAGCAATAGATAAACATTGGAAGAAAACTGTACTTTTAACTGAAACCAGTTTAAAAAAACATTAAAGAAATTTAATCTAACCTTAGCTTGAGCACACAATTATTTTTTTTTTTTTTGCTATGAAGCTATTTATTATAGATCGTTTTTCTGTTCAAGGAATTTATATAACAAATATACTCAAATTTAGACTTACTACTTCTTTAAACATTCAGA